CACTACCTTGTGCAACTTCTACCTAGAAATCACCATCTAGATATGAGATCCCCATCTCACTTACAATCACCATGGTGATACCTACTGCCATAAGTCTTGTGACTAGAATTGAAACCAAATAGAAGTTTACACTTCAAATAAATAATTCTCAACTATTTGTTTAAAAGCACGTGAGTGAGAACAATACTTAGTCTTGCTTAAAAGCTTCAACCAAGAACAATAACTTGATAAACAATCAAGTAACAATAACTTGATAAACTATCAAGTAACAAACTATCTACCTCACTGTATCAAAAGATACATGGGTGACTTACAAAAACACAAGAGACTCTCAAAACCTAATACTTAGACTTCCCCTAATTTTACAATTGTGGATGTTGAATTACATTAGGTCTAGGGTTCTCTTTAAATACTCTACAGCAATCCATGGGCTTCAAAATCTTCATCCAAATATCCCTTGATCCACAAGCTAAGGGTTGCATTAATTATGCAAAAAAATGTCCTTAAATCTTTGAAGAAATCTTCAAGGTTTCTAAATTGTCTCAACATTAAATCTTAGAACTTTAATGTTGTTGGAGATTTGATTCTCTTGTTCCAGATTTAATCCTCTTGACCTGATGATAAGTGAACATTGTAGCTATTTTTGAATATACTTTTTGTTGCACTTATTGACTCATTGTTGTTAATATTAGTTGAATAAACCCAACTTTTGGGTTTATGATCCCATTTTCCCCAGTTAAGGCTTGGTTCAGTTTTTTGTCTAAGGTGTTATTTGCTATTGGGTTTTTAATCACATTCTCCCTAATCAAGTCTTGATTCAGATTTCCCCGACTGGGTGTGATTTCTTTCCATAGTCAAGTGGTGGTCAAGCAAAGGTTGCAAAGTTTTGAAGCATTTGCTTAGACATTGGATTCTTTCTCCCTTTGTGTTGAGAGGTAACGTAGAGTCTCTAACATGATATTATGCCCTCCGGCTATGACATTGTTGTTGTTGTAGACCCCAAGCAGCCAGACAAGGGCAGTATATCTTATAAGAAGTGTTCAGATAGATGTCAACTTCTTGGGTTTTCTCTCAACATGTGCTTAGTTTGATTTAAAATCCCTAAGAGTTGACCTATTGTTGTGATGTTAACTTCTTAATTCCCCAGATTAGTTGAGGATGATGCTTCCCTCTAAAGTCATTATCCCATGAAATTTCATGATTTCTCTCCAAAGAAGTTGACACAACTATTATTCTCGATATTGAAGAATGTATTTAGGCTCCTTTCGGTGTGTGCGGTTTCTTTTTCCCCAATGAAGTCAGCATGACATCCCTAGTTGAAGTCTTAACGATGTAGTTTTCATCTTCCTAGCGAAGTTAGTTTTGGAATCTCCAGTTGAAGTCTACACAATGAGGCGTCGTCTTCCCCAATCGAATTATGTATGACATTCCTCGATAAAGCTTAGAGGAGTTTATTATATCCCCGCAACTTTATTTTTTGCTAGTCAGGTGGTGCTTTGATTGTTTTCAAGCCATTTCCTTCCCAATGAAGTTAAGCCGTGAAGTAGGACTTTGTTTCCTCAATGGGTGCTTACTCTCTTATGGAATCTTCATCCCATATGTGACTTAGCCAAGTGTTGACTCTACCTGAGTCGGTGTTATCTGGTTATTCCCAAGTGCAGTTTGGTTGTTTTGTCAACATAGACATAATAACATTCATACATTCATACACATCATGCATAGCTGAATTTAAAATTCATTACTCATTTGCATTCATTTATTTTTTTCTTAGCATATTATTCTCTTTGCAAAGTTATTTTATTCTCTCTCCAATAGAGTATTAACTTTAAACAGAAAGTATATATCCTTTCAATTTCCCCGTTTAAGTTATCCCTTGTGGAAGAATTTTTCTTTAGCTTTCCTATCCAGCTCATTATCTGGTTGGAAATTGATCCCTGTTTGAGTTTATTCCTCGTTGGGTGGTGTCTTGGTTGACTGTTTCACTCCGGTTTATTCCTGGTTTGAATCTGCGGTCCTCGGCAACATTATTATTCTAATTTATGCAGGCTTTGAGATCTTGTTTAATAATGTGCATTTATTTTGCATGCAAAGACTTTTTTTTCTCCTCAACGAGAATGAGGTGGCATTTCCTCATGAAGTCAAAATTCATTTTTTTTCATAGTGTTATTGTAACTCTTCTCATAACAGCAAGCGGTAGGCCTCTTTATTTGAGCAACTTGTTCCTCCCCAGTAAGTCTGTTAATGCCAGAGAAGATGTTACTCCAATGAATGGTAGTATCGCCATTATGGGAGATAGTTTGTTGTTGAGGTTTTTTATACCAATGAATGGTAGTCTCGTCATTATGGGAGACAGTTTGTTATTGAGATTTGTTACTCCAATGAATGGTAGTCTCATCATTATGAGAGATAATTCATTGTTGAGATTTGTTACTCCAATGAATGGTAGTCTCTTCATTATGGGAGATAGTTTGTTGATGAGATCCTTTACTCTAATGAATGGTAGTATCTTCGTTATGGGAGATAGTTCATTATTGAGATTTTTACTCTGAGGGATGGTAGTCTCTTTGTTATAGGAGATAGTTCATTGTTGAGGTTGGTTGTACTTCAATGATAAAGACAGTTCGTTGAAAGATTCTTACAGCAGTTTATTACCCTTTCCAGGTGAAACATCTTGGTTAAAGAAGAAACTGAGACCAGTTCGTGGCTTATGGCCAAGATCGAGGGGAGGTTTATCTGATTCTCCATCAAATGGTATCTCTTCGAAGAAGTATCCCAGAGATGTTTTTTATGAAATCATTGCAAGTGGTGGTCTCTTTATTTGAGATATCTTATATTTTTACCCTTTCCAGGTGGAATACCTTTGTAAAAGAAGGAGTTGTGACCTGTTCTAGGTAGAACGCCCGAATTTTGGGAAAATCGTTAATGTTAATGCAGATTTCACCTTCAGTAAAAGTTGGTGCATCTTTTGTATCTCTACCTTCAGTGAAAGTTGGTATCTCACCTTCAGTAAAAGTTGGTGCATCTTTTGCATCTCTACCTTCAGTGAAAGTTGGTGGTTCATCTTTAGTAAATATCAGTGTATCTTCTGTTTCTTTACCTTCAATAAAAGTCGATATTGATTCTATGTTTTTTCTACCTTAATCCTTGAGTTGGTAGTTCATCACTGCTCTTAGTCGGCATGTATCTCTTTCTCCTCATTGGACCTTACTCCGATAGATTTGAGTTGTTCCCATCCATAAGTGTTGATGTCAAACCTTGTTTCCAGCCATAAGTTCCGATCTTAAATATTTGTTACCGGTCATAAGTACTGATACCAATCACTCGTTTATTAGTCTCGATGTTGATGTTTACCGTCATCTCTGAGCTGATATTATCTTACTATTTCTATTCGCACCTCTTAGGTTTAGCAGTTGTCGGTCCCCTGTGAGTTGATGTTACTCTTTTTTTCGCTATCTCCTCTATGAGTGGATAGTTCACAGTTACCGGTCAATCATTCTTATCCATTGCTTTTTCCTTAGTTATTGAGTTGATGTTATTTTTGTCTCCTATATGGGCTTTACCCGAGTAAAGTTGAGTCTTCTTTTCCCCAGCGGAGTTGATTTCTCTCTAATGGATTCAAATTTCTATCCCCATAGTGGTGTTATTCCCAAGAGATATATTTTCCTGGTCGAGTTCTTTTTCTTTGTTTGTTAATGTTATTTTTTCTTCTCTAGTGTATCTTATTCACCTGCATGAAGTTTATATTTTACATCCATAATCATAAGCATCACATGGCATCTTAGGGCTAAAAATAGGATTTGCTTTATATTTAAGTATCTTCAATCGCATCCAGAGAAATATTTTAACCTTCGTATCTCTGAAAAGAAGACACGTAATAAAGGGCAGCTGTTATACCCCAATTTTTGCCCCTAAGATCCCTCATTACATCATATACATCTCATGCATATCACCGATTCCATGGTTACGGAATCAAAAGGCTTTTGGCATTAGGGTTTATCTCTATGGACTGAGGATGCTACCTTACTCAAAGTTGATTCAACTGGTGCTCCCATCATTCTTGGTATAGACTAGGGTTTTGGATCACAAGCATCATAAATGTCTTTGCTAGAAGGGTTCCTCGAGATATAAGGTTGTCTTCATCAGAATTTCTTCGAGAAATGTGCTTTAGGGTTTACCGTGTGCTCAAGATTTCATTATGTCTTCATTAAGAATGGTCTGATTCCTCTCGATATCTCGAGTCACTTCTTCTCCTATGTGCGCTCAATACCCAAAGAATTATGGTCTCTCCTATGATATGCCCAAGCATTGGTGTTGGTTATTCAATAATGGTTCATTTTGACTTGTTTTTATCATCAAGGATACAAAAAGCACCATTGGAGGTTCATCATCAACATTTAGGGTCTCTACTAATAGATTTCTCTACAAGGATTTCCCTTCAAGGAGTTTAGAGAATTTAATCAAAGGATTTATTTCTTGTGAGGTTACTTGTCAAGTGATTAAGGGTTGCTTTAAGTTTTCATCAAGTTGAGATATGTTTTTTTGGTTGGGCTATGGGTTAGGAGCTCATTTATGTCTAGTTTTAAAAAGAAATTTGGTTGCTTCTGGAGTTTGTAATTCAATTTGAGACTAGGTTGTACCAGTCGGGTGACATGTGTTTGTTTCATGGTCTCATGGAATGTTGACGCGATAATGCACACGGGTTATGGTACATATTTTCCTCTCGAATTAATTCAAGCTAGAAGAAGTTCAACATTCTATTATATTTTGAAAGAATACTTGAAAATAAAATTACATTACAAAAAAATATAGGGAATTTCAATCAGAAGAGTATGAATTGGTTGCACTAAAACACCGATGCCGCAAGTAAAGTCACCTGGGGTCCTTGGAAATGATGTGTTTCAAAGTTTTAATGTGGGTAAGTTTTATGAATCCCTTATAACTATACACGTGAGTCATTAGGTAAAAATACAACATATTCAATCTCTAGTGGATAAGAAGATATGATTACACTAAATCCTGGATCAAGTAAGCTAAAGCTTGTTGCTACAGATTTTTTAAATAAAAAAAGAGGAATAGGAAGGTTTGAACAGGTTGAGCAGCTTACGTTCCTAACAAAAGTGGCTAAAACACCTTCACAGAAGCTTGATTTTATTTTCAATGTGGTTTCTGCTAAGTTTGATGATAATCTAGGCCTCAGTGGACATATGCCAATAACTGTGTGGAAAAAATGTGTTCAGAATATGCTGCTCATCCTTGATATTCTAGTTCAGTTTCCAAACATAAAGGTTGACTATTCAGTGGATCCAGATGAAAATGAAACCCAGAAACGGGATGACTATGATGGATAAATCAGGGTTTGAGGTAACTTAGTTGCTTTCTTAGAAAAAATAGATACCGAGTTTTTCAAGAGCTTCAAGTGCATAAATCCTCATACAGGTGAGTGTGCTGCGAGACTCAAGGGTGAGCCCTTGTTTTTGGTTCTTGCTCAAATGTCCAGGAATATCTTGAAATTAGTGGGGATTTTAAAGCTTCCTCTAAGGTGGCCTTGAAGAGGGTTGAACTCATCTACTACAAATCACACTAAGTTTATGAGGAAATGAGGAAATTGGCTGAGATGACGAAAGATGCAGGTGAGGAGAGTGAGGAATCAAAAGGTTTTAAGGATACATGAATTCCTAATGCATTTGTTATCACTCCTGAGCTTGTGGCTCAGAAACCCACCTTCCTGGAGAATAACAAGACTCTAAGGACGTTTTAGTTTCACATATATACAAACATGGTGATGAGCTCACTAAAGCTCAGATAATGCTTTGTGATATATATCACCATGCTCTTCTTAATGAATTCTCAATAGCTCGTGATCTGCTGCTTATGAGTCATTTGCAGGAAAATGTTCAGCGCATGGAGATTTCAACACAGATACTTTTTAATAGGGCTATGTCATAGTTAGGTCTATGTGCTTTTCGGGTTGGATTTATTTCTGAAGCACATGGATGTCTAGCTGAAATCTATTCTGGTGGAAGAATGAAAGAATTGCTTGCACAAGGAGTTTCACAAAGTCGTTATCATGAAAAGACTCAAGAACAGAAAAGGTTGGAGAGAAGAAGGCTGATGCCATATCATATGCATATAAATCTAGAGCTCTTGGAATCAGTGCATCTTGCATCTGCTATGTTGCTGGGAGTTCCCAACATGGCTGCCAATGTTCATGAAGCAAAGCGGAGGATCATCAGTAAGAATTTCGGTCTCTTGCTTGGGGTCAATGAGAAACAAACACTTCACGATCCGTTCGAATAAGCCAACCCTACATTAGTGTAGAAATGATTCAGGAAATTCACATAAATAATAGTTCAATGTCAAACTCAAATGGAAAATCAGTTTAGCATAAAATAGAAAATTCCAATCTCATTTCAATTCTGACTAACAATTAATCAAAAAACAGTTACAACAGAATATGCCAGTTTATGCTAACTAACCTAACCTTTTCTCACCCTCTAAACAAACAGAGTCATAATAGAAAAGTAAACTAAATTCCTAACATATTTGAATAATTCCTAACTGTCATAACAGAACGGCCAAACTAACAGAAATCAGATGCAATCTCATCCATCCAAATCTTTAACTAACTTCCATGATCTAAGTTTCAGAGGGAATCTCATGTAACATAGTTTTCCAGATTTCAACTGAATATATAAACAAAATGTTTTCTGCACTCTGAACTCTTCATAATCTTCATTATTCATCCCAGAACATCATTGATCTTCATTTCACTTCTCTATGATTCCATAAACCTTCACATCTTCATCATCAATTTCTCACTTCTCTGCATCAACAATATTCTGCAAGACGCACATCATCATCATCATCATCATCGCATCAGCTGAAGTGAATCTCTTACGCTATAACAACAATAAAATTCTATTTCAAAATCATATCAAATCGCATAACTCAAGAACAAGGATAAATATGAAGCATAACAAGAAGAGGAATAATACAGGAAGTATAATAGTACCTTTATAGTCTCAGATTTTTCCAATCCTCTTCAATAATCGGAATAATTGCCGAAGTCTTCTTCCGTTAGGTAAGCCTGAATTCTTGCATATTCGATTCCTTTCATGTCCTATCCTTGTGCGTGTAGAATGTATTTTCTTTGTATTTGAGAGGATCAAAAGCATTTTCTTGTGAAATTGAGTCTAAAATGCGATTCATAAAGAGGAAACGAGTTTCTCTCTTTATTGTGGAGATAAAAGCCATACTCCGCAATCTCCGGTGTGGTGGAGGCGATATCCGGTAATGTTTAGAGGTGAGAGACGGCAAGGTGACGAAGCCACATCATGAAGAGGTTGGTGAATTCATGAACGGTGGCACGATGATGAGAGATCGAAATTGAGATATGATATGGTGGTGGCGCTCTCGTTCATTGATTGGAGAAGAATGTTGAGAGGGAAATCGACCACCACATGCTGCAAGTGAGAGGAAAAGTGATTTTCGCATAGGAACCTCCTAGCTATGAGAACCCCCTCTCACTTTCTACAATCACCTCAGTGATAAAACCAGTCACAAATCAGTGACAATATCAAAAGAACCAAATATAAGATTAAACTTCAAATACAAAACTTAACTTTTTGCGTAAAAGTTCATGAGTGAGAACAATACTTAGTTTTGATTAAAAGCTTTTAACTAAGAACAATCAGTCAACCTCAATGTATCAAAAGATACATGAGTGGCATACAAAGAAAAACACAAAAACTCTAAAAGACTCCAAAAACCCTAAACCCTTATGCACCCACGGTTTTTTGTTATGAATGCTTGCTATTTTAGTTTTAGCAAGTCCTTATTTATAGACTCTTTCAGAATGGGCTTGGACTCTTCAATCAAATCCAATCTTTTAATTTTTAATCAACTACAAGATCTTCAACAGAAATAGGAACCAATCTTCAAAGTTTTCTAAAGAGTCTCAAAGATCATTTTTAAAGAAACCAAATCAAATTTGCACTGTTCATAATAAAATCTTCTTAAACTGCAAAATCAGTGTGATATATCCAAGAGGATATCACAAAATCAAATTAAATTTGTCAAGAAAAATAATAGCAGCACTTGTTGTGCAGTTGGCCAAGATGTCAAGACATGTGACTCAACATCCGTCTGATATTCATGAAAGCATAACATATCATGACAGTTAGTCAAGATGTTATGACATCTTGCTCAACATCAACTAAGAACCATGTTTTAGCAAAATTTATGCTAATCTTAGAACCATGAATCTAACAGCTATCTATGAGCTTTTATAGAAAATTCTAATAGTGGACTAAATCTCTCAGGTTCAATGCCAATTACATCAGAGAATATCCAGATCAAAAAGCGTCAAAATCCCAAAATAGGAGAAATCACACTGAGAAAGGAAACAAATCAAGGTGGAGCTTGAATGCCAGCTATGGCCCGTAGCAGCTGCTACGGGTGGCCGCATCAGGCCCCTGAACTTTGTGTAAGAGCTTTTAACATGGGCATGGCTTAAGGATTTGCTACTACGGACGGTTGTACCATCCCTTGGGATTTATATGGGAGAATTATTCACTTTTCACCTTTTTACGTGTTTCATCCATTTTTGTCTTTCTTTTGTCCGGAATGCTCAATATGGCCTAAAAACAACATGAACACAATACCAAAGCATAAAATATGATAAATGAAGGAAAAACCAATAGAAACTAAGGAAATAACAAAACAAAAGAACTAGGAAAAGCAATGTGAAAATAACTTATCAAACTCCCCCAAATTTAGATTGTTGATTGTCTTCAAGAAAGAGAGCTTGCTTATGCAAATTTTTGGATCAAGCGGTTCACTTAATAAAAGAGATTATAAAAATTAAGCATGTTAGTACTAATACGTGAGTTTTTGTTCAGAACAACTAATAACTAGTTCTCTCGGTACTCATCTGACGCCAAAGGTATTTACAAGAACACTAACTGAGTGAGACTACAAACCTAAGTTCCACTTTCAAATACCTCTCTAACTATGCTTCATACTCAAATCTTGTAACACCCCGTTTTTTTTTTTATTAAATATTAATTCGGTTATTTGAAATAAAAATATTCATAATGATAAAATACTATTTTGAGTAATATTATTTTGATGTCTATTTGGCTTCGTTTGATTTATCGGTATAATTTAGTTTTTATGGAATAAATATTAATTAAATGTAATATGGTTTTAATAGAATTATATGATATAATTTGAATTAAATAATTGTTGGGGCCAAATTATAATTTTAGAAAGATAGAGGGAGGAAAGTTAGTAGTAGAAGGATAGTTTTATAAAATAGAAAAGGAGAGTTAGTAAGAGTAGTTGGTAAGAAGAGAAAGAAGAAAGAAAATAAGAGAGAAAGAGGAGAAGAGAAGAAAGGAAGCTAGGTTTGGAGTTGCAACATCTTCATCATCTTGTTTCAAGAAAACCCACACCAAGGTAAGGGGTTTGATTCTCCATCTCATATTGTTAGGTTTTGATAGATATATTTTGGATTTGGGGGTAAAATTGATAGTTGATTTATAGGGTTTTGTTGGTTGATTGTTGGAATGGTTTAGAAAAGTTGGATTAGGAGTATGGTTTGTGAGTGTATTAGGTGCTAGCTTGTAGAAATTAAGAGTATTGAATGGGAAAGAAAACCATGGTGGTAGAATGAGAAAAACTCAAAAGAATGAAGTTTTCACGCAGGTCCATCCACACGGGCCGTGTTGCTGCACACGGGTGCCCGTGTTGATGCTCTGACTTTGACAATTTTTGCACGTTCTGGTGGCTTTTCCACACGGGCCGTGTTGATGCACACGGGTGCCCGTGTTGATGCTTCTGTAGCCTCCAAAATTCTGATTTTTCGCACTTCCTTTGGAACCCGATTGTGTTCCGATTTTGGTAGATTCGTCGACGGAGCAAGTTGCTCTGAATTCAAAGAAAATTGACGTGCTAGCATAATCCGACGTGTAGATTAACGTAGTGAAGTTCGTTTTGCGAAATTTCGACTTTTTAAGAATCGACCCGATTTTAGTACGAATGAAATAAGTTGAGTTTAATCCCGAATTTAACCGTTCGAGTTACATTCCGGTGACTCGATCGCGATGAGAAACATTGAGAGTAATATTGGTTCATTGATAATGACTTTATGTTGAAATATACTTTCCGATTTGGAATTGTTGATAGTTGATGGTTTATGTTTTGGTTGAGTAAGTAACTTGTTTGTATACATTTTACTTGACGTTGAGATTGTTAAATTATATGTATGCATGCATGTACAATAGTTGATGTTCCATTGGTTGGATTTGATGGTATGTGTATGTTAAGATTATTGTGAATCTTAATTGCATGAATTGGTTATATTGTACATTGCATGGCATGGTTGGTCTTGAAACAGAGACGGTGAAACTGTGGGTTCACATGATTTTATAGACGGTGACCCTATTGTGGGAAAAGACGTAGTGACCTTGATCTGGAAGGGAAATATAGGTGGTGGAATATTGGGTCCACAATATCTAGACGGTGACCCTATTGTGGGAAAAGACGTAGTGACCTTGATCCAGAAGGGAAATATAGGTGGTGGAACATTGGGTCCACAATATCTAGACGGTGACCCTATTGTGGGAAAAGACGTAGTGACCTTGATCCGGAAGGGAAATATAGGTGGTGGAACCTTGGGTCCACGAGTCGGTACCGCATTCGCATACGTTGAGTCGTGTTGTGAGTCACATGTATATTTGTGCATGTTATGTATGTGTGTTGATGTGTTTGATTATGTGCCCATATTGTTGTTGTTTGAATTATGGTTATGTGCCAAGGACGTGAGTATTCGGATAATCGGTTTACATGGTTAATGTGTTGGAGATGGATTCCTTGAGTAAGGATACTACAGGTGATAAAATGAACATGATCATTATGTATTGCTTTATTTATTGCCATTTCTTTTACTTAAAATTACATGTTATATGATTATTGGAATTCTTACCCTTTTGTTGGCCAATGCTTTTGATGGCATTGTGCAGGTACCGAGGACGGTAGCGCGAGGCGCTAGCTAACAGATGCATTGGATTGCAATCTGTTTTATTTTGATTAGAGTCGAGTCGATGCTCTGGTAGTAACACATGGGGGGGGGGGGATTTATTTAGTGTCGAACTCGATTATTTTGTATTTGGATTATGATGTATATAATCCTTATTCGTGTATATGATGTTTTGTATATGTGAGACTTGATAACATATGCTTATGTGAATTATGATGGCTTGATGCCTTGAATTATGTTTTGATTCCTCCATAAA